TCTCTTCCTGTAAACTTTATACTTACAAAGATTATAAGTATAATCTTTCTGCTTGTAAAACTTTTTAGCTATAAACTCTCTTCCTATAAACTTTATAGGTATAAACTTTCTACAAAATAAAATTTATATTTAGAGGGGTTTTATGTCTTGTTTGTACAAGTGTACAATCTAATATTGCAAAAATGAGTACACTCCCCTTTGGCTAGATATGAACTCTAAAATTCTTGTAGTGTGGGAAGAAAAAAAGAATTTTTTTGATTAGTAAACCTATCAACCATTTTGATCCTTAATTATAAAATTGTTGATTAGTAGTTGTGGCCGGCATCGAGTATGGGTGATGGTGTGATGACGATAACTCCTTGTTTCTACCCGTGTTGGGGAGCCTTACTTGTCTTCTAGCTTGTTTCTTTATGCAGATCTTGTGGTGAACAGTGTTTTGTTAATGTACCTAGTTGTTCTGTGTTCTGTGTTTGCGGCCTTGTAGTTTAAGTTAGCTAGTTGTGAGTTTGTTATAATTGTGGTTTTTGCCCAGTTTCTATAATTAACTATGCACCGTAAGATTTAATCTTATTTTCTCTTTAAAAGAAACACCTTCTATATATAAAACGTCGGTAACGGCTTGACCGTTTGAAAGAAAAAATACAAATATAAAGGTTTATTTGGTACTTCATCTGTCTCAAATTACTGTCTTTTAAGGTTGTTTGGAATATTCTTAGGTTTGGAACAAAAGACTATAATACCCTTATAAAGTAATTTATGGATGAGGATAGATGGGTGGTTGAGGGTGGAATTGGGAGAAATTTGAATGAGATGTGATTGATGAGATAAGTAGTACTTACTACTACAAAAGTGATTTTTCTGTACGAGGCCCCATGATTTTTGCAAACGGACCATAACTAATGGCGTCTGTAAAAATCGAGGCTCATTTTCCCAAACGGCTGCTTAAGTGGCCTGTATGAAAAAATCGATTTTTCCCATACGGGCCTCTTAAGAGAGCCGCATGCAAAAATGAGCTTGTGACTTTGTAAAAAAATTGAAAAATTTGAAACTAGTGAAAATAAAATTTGAAAATTTTGAAAAATTTGAAACTAGTGTATCTCACTCATATGAACTCCAAATTGGATGATTTTTTTTCCTAAATGATTCTAAAATAATGCTCTATCATGTTATTGTGTTCTTACTGGTATTATTTTGGCTATTTTTTCTTGTGGCTTTGTTTTATCAATTAAAAATTTGAATTTCAAAACTTCAAATAATATTTTGAAGCAGTAAATAATTTCATCTGAAAAAGTCATCAATAACAAAGTTATATAATCATCAAGATCTATAACTTCTATTTTGATCATTTCTTCATCCGACAAAGTGATTGGTCATTTCTGTCGGCTGTCGTCACCACCACCGCTGAGGCTGCCGTCGCCTCTCAGCCGCGAGCTCAGGGCCGGATCCAGCCGCCACGACGACGGGGGAGGCCGGATCCGGCATCGTGATGACGGGGGAAGCCCGATCTGCAGCCACCATGACAGGGGAGGTCGGATCCACTACCGCTACTATGGGGGAGGCTGCCGCGACGACGACGCGACCGCTGCTGGGCCGCGGGCGGCGGATCCGGCCGCGAGAGAGCCATGACGGGCTCCCTCCCCGCCGCCGCAATGAGGTCCTCCCCACTCCATGTGGCGGCGACGTCAAGCTCCATGTGGCGACGCTCGATCTCGAGCTCTCCCCTTCTCCACTGGCGAGATCGAGACGCCGCTGCCGCTATCGGCACGGATCCGGCCTCGTGATTACCGGATTTGTGTGGGGACGACGACCTCGATGGTGGCGGCGGGTTGTGGTTGCGGCAGGGTCCAGCGACCGCGGTGAGTGCAGCGATGACCTCGGCGGCGGCGGCGGCGGCGGCAGCGGCGGCAGCGGCGACGGGTGCGGTGGCCATTGTGGAGTGCAGCGACAACGACAATGTTTTTTTTTTACTTTTTGTGATTTGTGAATGAATGTGAGTTTAATTTTTGATTTGTGATTGGTTTGGAATGTTTTTGAATGAATTTGTTGAATTGATTATGAGATTTGTGATGAATTTGTGATTTGTGAATGGATTACGGTGGCAGAGGATTTTAGATTTGGGGTGAGGGATTTTTGGGCAGGGGATATGGGATTTGGTGTGGGGGATTTTGGATCTACTGGTATGATTTTCACTGGCGGTTCTCTTTAGGTAGCCACCAGTGAAAAACATATTTTCGCTAGCTGTTCTCTTTAGGTAGCCGCCAGGGAAAATATATTTTTGCTAGCAGCTAATTCCCGCTTGTGAAAATACTCTATTTTCACTGGCATTTGCTTACTGGCGGCTGCACTGGCCACCAGCAAAAATATAAAATAGCTGCCAGCGAAAAGCTTTTTTTAGTGGTGACAGGTCCTAATGTACTATAGACCTTCCCATTTGAAGGACTTGTAGGTGTTTGGCCAACCATTTATTGTACACAATCAATGAGTGGATGATCATATATATCAGCCTAGTATATATATGTTCCAGCCTCCAGCTGAAGAACTCTGGAGAGTGGAGACTAAATCATATACAATGCTCAAAGGTTGTCCGACTATAATAGAAGACTGATTTAGGATTGGGATTTTCCAGATAATACAGTGATAACTTCTTGCATCGATCAGCACCAGCTAGAATAAAAAGAACCATTAATTACTGATTACACTGTCAAAATCAACTTAAAAAAGAAATGAAAGTGAAAAAAGAATCAACATGGCTAACGCGAATGCCATGTTATAGCGACTATGAAAACTCCATGCTAGTTGTAGGATTGGGATGCATCATGAAAGAAAATATAACTTCTTGATCCAGCGCTTGAACACACATAAGATGGCATGCTAGGTAAAAACTGGTACTACTGTCGACATTCTTAGCATAGCTTGGCAGATGGGCTTCCCATTCTGGGTAATTTCTTAATTACTATCATCTGATAAGAAATGCCGGGTTTGTTCTCCTTGGTCTGCTTCATTAATTGATCTCACTGATATGAATCTTGCAATTATCCTCAACTGCTCCCTGTAATACACAAGCGTGCAGATTACGCAAGTATACACTGATACCTCAAAGTCTTGTCCATCGTAACAACATGATGTACAAAGGAACATGGATGTCGAACACTAGAATGTGATGCATGCACCTGTCTTGAAGAATTGATCCTTTGGATCAAATGAGGGACTGAATTTGGCCAAAACGTGTGCTTATGTGAAAGATTTGTTCTACTTAGTTGATCTGATATGACAATTTAGTTATGTATTCTTTTTGTGCGATCTGCTTCATTGTATTCTAACACATTGCTATATATCTAAAAAGTAGTAAATGCTAGAGTCGTGTCTACAAAAGCTACAGCAAATACTTCCTCTGTCCTAAAATATAAGAATTTTTAAAAAAAAATTTGGACAACGATTTGTCCAGAATGCTAGAGTCATGTCTACAAAAGATTAATAAAAAATATTTCATCCATCCCAAAATATAATAACCTTTGGCTACGGATTTAAACAACCATTTATCCATATTAATAGCCAGCAATGCTTATATTTTGGGATGGAGATAGTAACACAATTCCAAAGACAATTTTAGTTCCACGGCCTTGCCATTTTAATGATTTGTAGGGCCTTGGCAGTGCCCCATTTTACTGAACACAATCAATGAGTGGATGAGCATATATATATATATATATGTATATATGTATATATATACATATATATATATATGCATATATATATATACATGTATATATACATATATATATATATATATATATATATATATATATGTATACATACATATATATATGCATATATATATATATATATATATATATGTATATATATATATACATATATATATATATATATACAGATATATATATATACACAGCATCAGCCTAGAATATGTATGATCCAGCCTCCAGCGGAAGAACTCTAGTGGCTGCAATCTGATGCCCGTAGAATGCTCATAGCAGCTAGGCTGCATTTCCGACTATAACAAACACTTGTATAGAATTAGATTCTTTTAGATAATTCAGTGACAACTTTCCAGCGTCGGCAACAACTAGAATACACACGGCCATTGCCCATTACACCACCAAAATCAGCAGAAAGAAAAAGGAGAATGGAGGAAAATAAGAAGATCAACACGACTGAAACGTGTATTGACTGTGAGAATACCATGCTAGTCTTTGTAGGATTGAGATGCATCAGGAAAGGAAATATTGGTAATTGATCCCAGTCTTGTAAAGAAACAAGCTGTCATGCTAGGTGAAGAGGCCCGCAAAGTGCCACAATTAGATGATGTCCCTCTACAGGCCATACAGGACTAACCACATCTTTTTTTTCTTATGCTTATAAGCCAAATTTAGACTTTTAATTAAATTTGGAGTTAATTTTGTGGTTTTTTTATCATACTTTATTTTTCAGCCTTTGCTTTTAGATCGCTAAGCTAGAACACGTACATAAAAATTTTATTTACAAATTATTTTCCATTTTATTCCATCGATAAGCAAAACGACGGAGTCCTAAGATGCGTGAATCACTATAGTGAACTATGAATCCAAAAATAGCACCCAATTGATCAACGTCAGTAACAAAAGCTGAACCATCTTGGATGTGAACATCCTATTACGTGAACTCTTTTTTGATGTGTAATATCCTATTACGTGAATACTGGCCCCAACAATATCCGTATTACTGGAACATATCCGTATTCTCAATCAGAGCAATAAGTCACAACGAAATTGCTAGCCATGAGCTCACGACGAAATTGCTGTGAATTAACGAGTGAAAGTTTTGGAGTGGCAGATTTTTTTTTAAATTAAAAAGATACGCAAAGTTCGTGATCATGTATAATTCAACGCAACAGGCATCTGATATGTTGCATCACATCAACGAAACATTAATAGAAAACATGATCATCACATCATCAATTGGCCACAGAAATTGCAAGGTAGTAGAAAAACGGGAGACAGGCATTCGAGTAATATAATAATAATTGACACTCATCCATTCAAAACAAATTCACAACATGTATCCTCTCAAGGAACAAACATCACAGAATTTCCCCCTTCTTCCTTTATAAACCTAGACAAAACTTATTCTTTCCCAGCCTCACCTCACAGTATATACATTACAACAAGATCTAAAGGACTACATATCCTCCTACCTCTTTGTTCAACCTGGGTATCAAAATCAAACTTCGGTCAAAAATCAAGCCGCAAAAGCCTCCCTCACCACAAGCTCTACAACCAACCGACCACCAAAATGAGACATGGACCAAGGAAACGGCAAAAAGGCAGAAACTTGGCATCAAGCACCAAATGTCAGTCTACCAATACCAACTACTATCCCTAACTAGGAATTTCAGTCCCCGGAAAAACTATTCCTAACTAGGAATCTTGTGTGTGCTTGAAAGTCCTCAAGACTCTCCATAATGGACATCTGCGAGATAAGACTACCTTGTAGCAACCAGAAGAAAAAAAAGGGGATGACACAGTTCACCTTGTATTGTCGCTGTATATCAGCTCCTACCAAAAATGTATACTATTGAGGAAACTAGAGTAAAACGCAACCTAGACCTGACGGACCCTAATAGGGAGCAACTATAAATTAATCCCAGGCACTTGGAGCACCCGCGCCGCCACCATAGCCGCCACCCCCATATGCAGAGGAACCACCATATCCACCAGCTCCACCGCTGCTGCCTCCACCATAGTAGTCACCGCCACCTCTTCCAGAGGAAGAATCCCTGCGGAAGTCACGGCCACCGAAGCGGCTCCCACCACCGGACCTTCTGTTCCTCCCACCACCCCCACCATAAGATGGGCGAGCAGCATAGCGAGACAACCACGCAGGTACCTCTTGATTAGATTCTTGCATTAGCTCAGCCAAAGACCTTGCCATGGAAGAGTTATTCTCATTGAAGAAAGCAGTTGCAAGACCACTTTTTCCTGCCCTCCCTGTCCTCCCAATCCTGTGGACGTAATCATCTATATCATTGGGAAGATCAAAGTTCACAACATGAGCAACATGAGGAATGTCAAGGCCCCGGGCTGCCACATCAGTTGCAACTAGAATAGGAGTATGTCCACTTTTGAAGGATCTCAAAGCATACTCTCTTTCCTGCAAGCAACATCACATTAATACATCAGCAAAGCAAACACTTCGTGCACAAAAGCATCACCATAATTTGTTTGGCACAAGTTCCACACTGCTCAATGGTAATAAGCAAATACTACTGAAATGGTGTGGTTGCATATATGAGTCAACCAACAAGAACTAGACAACTCTGCTATGTAATATCAATGTATAGAAATGATATTGATGTACATGCATATCTTCTTTAGAACTAACCAGGAAAGAGATGACTCAAAATGACAGCATACATTTCATCATCAGATGAATGATTGGTTTAACCATTTCAGAGAATAAGTATAGCTAAACAATGCTAGAAATCCAAATAGCATGAGCGAAAAAAGAACAAGAACGAACCTGCTGGTTTCTATCACCGTGAATAGAAGTAGCTGGAAATCCATTCATACACAACCAGTGCTCCAACGAATCAGCACCCCTTTTGGTTTCCACAAAGACAAGTGTAAGAGTTGGCTGCACCAGGGTTAAAAAAACAGTGAATACAACAGTACTTTGGGCAATTGCACTATTCACTTTAAGTGCCAAATGGCAATTCCACAGATAATCTTAGGAAAGTTACTCATGAAAAACACCAGGACATTCTGGGGAAGTGGTTAAATCATGGATGTAATATAGAACTGCAGACAGATATTACTTCTGCATCACCTTTCCTGGAGTAGCACTGTCTCTTTGTGCATGAAGCAGATCCATCAAGTGGCTTCTTTTGTCTGCCTCCTGCACAAACTCAACTCTCTGTACAATCAAATCTGTACTTGACCCAACTCTTCCAACAGCCAGGAATATGTAGTTCTCCAGGAAGTCAGATGCCATTCTCTGTGTTCATCAGCAAATCACAAAACCTCATTCAGTATACAGATGAAAATAAACACGAAAGAGAATTAGATAGCGTTTCACCAAGGTAAAATGACAAGCATAGAATCAGATATAGACGCAACCATATTACAACAAAAAAAAAAGTTAGACAACATTAGTCAGCACTAAGAAACTACTTGATGTAATGATGCCAAATGATAAGTATCACCAAATATAAGTTCAAATATGTACCTAGGATAGCGGCTACTTAACCCCCGAGAAACTGCTTATCATTAAGATAATATCCGAACACATAATATTATCTTTATCATAAATAAATGATTTGAGTGTACTAATAGAAACTTTTCTTTAGGAATAGAGAAAAAAGTTATAACAAAAAAGGCTGTAACTTCCCAAATATATACTCCCGACGTCCCAAAATAGAGCAACCTTTAGCTATGTACCTGAGGGAGTACATTATACAGCAAGTGATGGTAGTTATGTCAATAACAAGGCAAAGAAAAGCTTCTCAAAAAGGTTATCAGATCATATTTTGGCCTTCACTTGAGTTCATGGCAAATTTTGCTTTACCTTAACACATAGGCAATGTTCTTCCTAAAATTTGTGAAGCGAAGGACTTGTTTTGATCGTTGTCATTTTGAGTCTTACCAAAAATTTGGCAAAGTGTGGGTGTTTGGTTTATGGCCAAAATTTGGAAACACCAATTTTTTGGCAGCAAACCATTAATACAAGCCATTCCCTTGGTCTTGCCACTTTTTTGGGTGTGGGTTGTCTGGGAGTTAAACCAAACAGACCCAAATTAGCTTGCCCCAAGTTTTTAGCCACCATGTATTTTTCTAGCAGAGCTTTTTGGTTGTCCTCGTGACTAGGATATAGCCAATAAGTTCAAGTGTAAAGAATATGTGTATTTCTTAATTATTTCATGTGTAACCAACAAAACAAGTGCAACGCATACTAAAGGTTCCCACTATATTACTCGCATATTGAAGCTCAGCCAGCACAAAAGCGAATGTTACCCTATTTAAGGAAAATATGGCAAAGGAACAGAAATACCAACCAAACGTGGGAATGTGTAAGGGAAGAGACAAAACAATAAATCAATCAGTAAAATATGCAACTACAGTGAGGACATGAAGTCTATTAGCAAGATCCAGTCAATTGATAAAATGCCGTGATGCAGTTGAAATGCATATTGAGTATGAAGACAGTAAACTAACATGAACAGCTTACCTGGATTTCTTTTGGGAACGTGGCGCTGAACAACATTGTCTGCCTGGCACCTGGCGGAGGCATGTCCATTTGCTCAACAATTCTCCTAACTTGCGGTTCAAAACCCATATCAAGCATTCTATCTGCCTCATCAAGGGCAAGATATCTGATAGATTGCAAAGATACTCTTGCCCTCTCCAATAAATCAACCAAACGGCCAGGAGTAGCCACAAGAATGTCAACACCCCTCTCAAGATCTCTCAACTGCAAAAAACAAATTCAATATTCGGTTTACGATATCATACAATTTGAGAAGATAAGGTAGTTTGATGATTGCCAAGCACACCCTATCCACATATGCAGACAAAACATTGACCAGAAGTCCTAAAAATGTCATTTCATATTGTTTTAAGTTCTTGTTTGGATTAACTTGTGATGAATGAACCACAAGGCTAGGAACTAATGGATTGGCTAACCTAGCAACGAATGCTTCACATTGGTCAGAAAATTCTTCCGGCAATGATTCAACTGTTTTAGATTAAACATGGGACAAGGATAAAATTATGCCATAACAAGGGGGATGTTGCTATCAACCATAACTATGAATTATATTGGAAAACCTACGATGGACACTGTAGAGGGCCTAAACATTTTTAACCTGTGTAAAGGCACCAGCTAGCAAAAAAATGAAGATTCACAAATAATCATCCTCACTAATACAAATATGTTGAACGCAAAATGGCAATATCAGCAAATAGAAAGACCTAAATTATACATCTCATTGTTTACCCTTCACATGGGCCATGACCGTACGCCACAAATCAAAGGTCCTGCGTGGCCTATGTGGAAGAAGTAATTGCTTGTCCTATCATGCAAGTTTATCAAGTTCTAACCATCCTAAAATACCGAGCAAGCAGTTTTCTAAACTTGAATTGACACATAATTGGATTTGAAATTTCGTGGAAAGATCCGGAACCAGACCTGCTGATTAATAGGTGCTCCTCCATATGCAACAACCACCCTGACACCGGTCTGATAGGAAAATTTTCTCGCCTCCTCATGAATCTGCAAGAGCATACAAATATAACAAAGCGCCCATCAAATGCATGTCAAAGAAAATCAAATCAGAGATGATATCCTGCACCGACAAAGCAACAAAGACTTTCTTCGCATCCATCACCTGCATGGAGAGCTCCCTGGTGGGGGAGAGGATGAGCGCGAGGGGGCAGGCGGTCCTCATCCCGCCGCGCTGGGGCCTTTGCGCGGGCGGGCCGCGCATGATGCCGCTGATGATGGGGAAGCAGAAGGCGGCCGTCTTCCCGGACCCGGTCTGCGCGCACGCCATGAGGTCCCTCCCCGCGAGCGAGATCGGGATGGCGTACCGCTGCACGGGCGTGGGGCGCACGTACTTGCACCGGCGGATGTTGTCGTTGAGCGCCTGGCCCAGGTCGATCTCGGCGAACGTGCCCACCGGCGGCGGCACCTCCCTCCCGCTCGTCTCCACGGGGATGTCCTCGTACGCGTCGAAGTTGATCCCGGTGTTCTGGTGCGCGTCGAACACCTCCGGCTCGTCCCCCGCCCCCGCCGCGGCGTCGCCGTCGTTCCCGAACGGGTTCGGCTCCCGGTCCCACCTCCTTGGCCCACCGAATCCTCCGCCGCCACCGCCGCCGCCCATCCTCCCCATGCCGGCGGCGGCGGGGCGGGGGGCGAGGAGGCCAGGGGCGGCGCGAGGGGGCGGCGCGGAGGAGGAGGATGATGAGGGCGGAGGCGCCGCCGCGCCCCCACCCGACGAAGCCCCGCGGTTGCGGAGGTGGGGGGGCACGTAGGAGCTCCGGTCGGGGCGGGCGGGGCCGTTGGCGGCGGGGGCGGGGGCCGGGGCGGGGTCGGCGTCGGCGACGTCGGCCCAGGAGGTGCGGGAGGGGGTCGCCATGGACGGATCTGGCGGATTCTCGAGAAGGGGAGGAAATTTGTTGTTGGGAGGAGGAGGACGAGGAGGAGAGGAGTGTGATTTTTTTTTTTCTTTTTGGTTTCTCTGAGGCTCAAAACGAAGGCGAGGCGAGGTGGGGGTGAAAACCTAACAATGGGAGGGGGGGGGGGGAGCGAACGGACGGGGACCGGACGGCGCGTCGGTGGGTGGAATTGGATTTTGTACCTCCGTTTCGCTTATTCGTGACATATTTACGAATGAAAATTAATTTATAAATAAAATTTTTATACACATATTCTTAATGATGTAAAAGAAAAATAAACTTTGATAAGAAAATCTTAAAAACAGCTCTAAATTTAAAAGTAAAAAAATTAAATTTTAACTAATAAACATAAATATAAACAAAAATATGGACGGTGCACGGGGAAAAGCCGTGAAATATCTGTGGAGTTCGTGCGGGATTTGGGTTTGGGGCTTGTGTTAATTCTGTGACTTGTGTCCGGTTTGGTCTCTTTCTCTCTTTTTTCTTTTTTCTTTTTTTCTTTTGCACGTTTCGGTGGTGATGTGTTTGTGTGTGTGTTTTTTACGCGTGTGGTGATATTTCGAGGAGTACTTGTCGATAACGAGAAGTTGAATGGTCGAACGAATTTGACAACTTTATTCCTTGAGAAGAAAATGCTACTAGATATTTTTGTAAAATAAGATAGCTTTATGCCTTAAATAAGAAGAAAATTCTTAGATATATTTTTTTAAGATAAGAAATTGTTTGATAATATTAATATTGATACTATCATCAATTGCTTTGTATCCAGAAAAATATGAATAATTTAAGGCAATACATGTACATGTTCGTGTGGGATTTAGATTTGGATTTGGACTTGTGCTCTTCTCCAGTTTGGTCTCTTTTTTTTTGAACGTTTCGGTGGTGATGCGTGGTGTAATATTTCGAGGAATCATTGTTGAGAACGAGAACTCGGGATGCAACACAATGACCACTGTTGTCGAATGACAACCGCGTCACGTCGAAGGACGTGAAAACCTGTTGGGTGGTTGGAATAGTAAAGCAATATATTAATTGGTTAAAAATTTTGGGATCCCCCATTACTTGGCCCTAGGGACTATTTATAATCCTAGTACAAATTCATACCCTTTAGGGTTTGGTTAGTACAGGAGAATTTACATGGTTACCCTTATGATATTGCAATGGGTATACAGTGTCTTTTGTCTTTACGGGCCCCGAGATGATCTTCCTGCGCCGGCCCGTTAGGTGGCAAAGGGCCTCCATGGGGCACCAGGCCTCTTGGGCCCTTAGCCGAAGGCATCTTGTACTCCGAACGACGGCATCATGCTTCACTTGACGCCCTTCGCCTTTGGTAAGCCTTCGGCCGGTCACCAAGCTTGGTAGCGAACCCATCAATCTTTATCGCCAGACTTCGCCCGATGCTTGGTGGTGGACCCCTTGCTCTTCGTCCTACGGTTTTGCCCAAGGGTTTCGCCCAAAGGACTTGGGCGATGTCTTTGGTGGCTTAGGTGGTTTCGGCAAGTTAGCCGAAGGCCCTCATGACATACCTCTAACAATCATCACCCTTCATAAAAAAAATATGCTCAGGAAGAACTCTGCCTTATTTTCACCAAGAATTTTCTAACATAATCTTTTAAACCTATTATATTACATAGAGCACTATAGTTAATGCTAATTAGTGCGAAACTATACTAGCGAATATTGTATCCCCTTGTTCACACATTAGCAACAATCCCTCCCCAACGCCTTGCATGATCTACACCTCGCTCCTGTCTCAATACCTCTTGCGACTCCTTTCTCCTTGTTTCTAGCCTCAACCAGGCAAAACCGTCATTGGTTCTTAGGGCGTCGCCAACTCAAGCACGCTAGCAAACCAAAGTCTCCTTCTCCCTCCTCTCTAACGTGTTCGTGCCACTCACCCTATCTCTCTTCCTCCTACCCACTGAGACGTTGGCGAGCTTTGGATCTCCCTCTTCTTCCACCTTGCCAAGAGCCGTTGTCCACATGTGAGCTACATGCCCTTGGTTAAAAGGTTTGAGATTTTCAAGGCAAAAGTTTTCCAATTTGGTTTAAAAAATTAAGGTTATGAGTAGAAAGTTTAAGTTACAGATATAAAGTTGTAAATGCTAAGATAAAAAAAATTTAAATATTTTGATTTGAAAGTTCAAGGAATTGCTTAGAAAGATTTTCAGTTTTTTAAGTTATAGAAGTTTTATTTTTAAAATCGGAAGTTTTATAATTTGAGCTCAAAGTTTAAAGAAAGTCCACGAGATTTCAAGTTTGAATTACCGCAGTCGTCTTGCTGAACTACTTCCTTTCTCATTTTAGTCCTCGCCGTTTTCATCTTCCGTAAATATTCCTTGTATTTGAGATTAATGATGTGAATCAAACTCGACGTAAAATTGAGTTTAAATCCCATTGCTCGAATCTCCGAATTGTGAATTTAAACTCCATTACTTGAACAAAAGATCGGAGACTACGATTGTGTAAAGCTCCAAGTGAGGGTTGGATTTGACCGTTCGTATTTAATTTAGCTTCACTTTGCCACACTTGATTAAGCTTAATTCCGGTTTGCGTTAGGTGAAAGAACTGCAGACGGTTTGGGAGCAAACACAAATACACAATCGCCAATCGATCGAGCTTTGCTAGCTATCCTAGTCAATATTGCAACAGGGAAAATTTTTTTGAAACCCTGCAACAGGGAAAATTGCTCCATTGGCCAAGAAAAAGAAGAGGCAGGGGGGCGCACCTAATGCGCAATCAGTCGCGCGGTCGCGCGGGCTACATCCACTGCTACTACTGCTACTACTACGTGTGTGTATATATATATATATATATATGTATGTAAATGTGTATGTAGTATGTATATACTTTGTATACATATATATAAACTTTGTATTATTATATACATACGTATAAATTTTGTATTAATAATATAAAGTTTATGTATATATATACAAAGTATATACATACGTGTATATATAATTTTTATGTGTACCAAAAATTGATGTATACAAAATATACACATATACAAATTTTATATACACGAGTACAAATTTTGCATACGCGTATACAAACTTTACATACACGTATATAAACTTTGCATACGTGTATACAAACTTTGCATATATGTATACAATCTTTGTATATGTACATATTAAAAACCGAGAGAAAAAAATACGAATACAAAATTTGTATACGTATGAATAAAAACTTGATATACACACGAATACAAACTTTGTAATACGTACGTCTTAAAAAAAAGGGGGGAAAACCAAAAACGGAAGAGAAACGAAAGAAACAAAAAAAAGGAAGAGAAACGAAAAAAACAAAACAGAAAAACAGAAGAGAAACGGAAAAAAAAGGGAAAAATCGCGACTGAAAAACAGAAGAGAAACGGAAAAAAAAAAACGGAAAAATCGCTCCTCAGTCGCGGCGGGCCGTCCGCCGCCACACGTGTCGTGCGGGCGAGGGCGCGCGTGACTAGCCGCCCATTAGCTTTTTCGGAGGCAGGCAGCATCCGGCCCATGAGCCCATCCAAAGGACTTGCATGGGCTGTATACGTAGGTGGACAGAAGGCCGGCCCAGCATCCCCGAAAAGCTAGCTGGCGTCCTTAACGGGCCGCATTGTGGATTGACTAGGCCTGGCCCATTTTTCCCACTGAAAACCGCCCAGTCCAACTACTACCCAGATAATCCGTATTTTTGGATGGGATATGTCCCATTCGATTTTGCTATATATTTATCGATAAATTTTTCCCTAAAAATTTGACAGATGTAATTACAGTACAATCGTAGTGTAATTACACTGTAACTTACATGTAATTACACTGTAACTATAGTGTAACTTGTATGTAACTTTCAAAAATCTCTCCGTAACATGTTATTTCGGTAAAATGAAGGTCGTGGGAACAAATTCTTTCACATATGTGTGTACTATGATTTGTTTTCTTTCTCACCAAAACAAATCTTGTAATAGATCTAACGATTCAAAATTATGTGAAACTTACATATAAGTTACAGTGTAGTTACATGCAAGTTACAGTGTAATTACATATAAATTACAGTGTAATTACACTACGATTGTACTATAATTACATCTGTCAAATTTTTAGGAGAAAATTTGTCGACAAATGTATAGGTGGTCCCGAGGGAGAAAGTGGATTGGATTCGTCTACTAGTTTTTTACTCCTTTTGTCTATAAAATATACTTTGGATACGAATGTGGATATGGTGTTTTTTTTTACGGAGAAAGTTTAGTGCCATTATGTTTTAAGCAAAAAGTTGGTCGATCTGATCTCTGAACGGAAAGCTGCCCACTGGAATTCCATGGCTTATCAATTTGAAACTTTCATATATGGAGTATCGATTAAGCACCGTAAGTACGGGAGGGTCAATACAAGTAGGTCTTCAAATCTGATGTCCTTTGTATTTGAGGAAGTTAAGCTAAGAAGGTTCTGGCCCTCACCTTCATCTCATCTCTGAAGATGCAAGCTCCAGATTGGCTCCACGGCAGCCGGCAGGGGCGGAGCTACATAGAAGAGAGGATATCCAAGAATCCGGTTTAAAAATCGTTTTTAAGGGTGTGTTTGGTTGGGTTTTTTAACCTGCTTTTGCTTTTGCAAAAGCCAAAAACTAACCAAAGGGCCCAAAAGCCACAAGTGCTTTTGCTCCAAAGCTGCTTTTAGTGCAGTACAAATCCAAAAGCAGCCCCTACCCTTGCTTTCACTGGCTTTTGTGGGAAAAAATTACCCACTTATACCATTACGGAAGAAAACGATTCGCTCTTTCTTTCTTTCTCGTTCCCCTTTCACGAGGCCAAGCGCTGGCCATGGGTTTGACGCGGCGCTAGGGTTTGCCGCCGCCAGCGCGCGCCGCCGTGCTTCCACCGCCGGGTGCTCCCGCTTGTGGTCCCGTCGTCGCGCGCCGCATCTCCCGGTGCCGGCTTGCTCCGTCGCCTGTCTCCCCGTTGCCCGCCCCCACGCCACCTGACGTCGCCCCAGGTCGCCCGACGGCCGACGGCCGTCTCCTCGTTGCCTGCCCGACGCCGGCCGACGCCGCCCCACGCCGGCCGACGATCCCCGACGCCGGCCGACGCTGCCCCAGGCTGCCCGAAGCCACCCCTGCCCGACGCCGCCCCACGCCGCCCGACGCTGCTACGACTCCTTCGCCACTGCTCCGGCCGGCCTGAAAGGTGAGGCCGAATGCTCCTGCTCTTGTGTTGATGCATGTGTTGCCCCTAGAATGTTACAGCAAATTGATTTTTGGCGTGCAAATTGATTGAACAAAAATTTATTTGGTTCAAGAATGGGTGACAAGGCAGATTGGGGTGATGGTTTTGTAAGGCATTTGTTTGATGTTTGCAAAGAAGAGATAGAAGCTGGGAATAGACCCATGGGAATTTTCACCACTACAGGTTGGAAAAATGTTGTTTCCAAGTTTGCAGAAAAATCGGGTGACAAGCGAACCAAAAAACAATTGAAGAACAAGTTAGATGTGTTGAAAAAGGAATATACAATGTTTATGGAGTTCAAGAATTGTGCCACTGGTCTTGGATGGGATGAGGCAAAACAAACTATTGTCTGTTCGCTGGAATGGTGGGAAGAACACCTTGCTGTAAGTACTATTCTTTCACCCTGTGATATTTTTTTCTATTCTTTGTTATAGTGTGCCTTGCTAACTTTATTTATTTAATTTCAGAGATGCAACAATCGTGAGAAAGGAATCAAATGCAATCATGTGAAGTTTCGCAAACAAGGACCAAAATTCCTAGATGATTTGCATATCATTTTTGGCAAGTCACATGTTAGTGGGGCTTCAGCATCATGTCCTGGAGATGTATCCTCCGATGAGGCAAGTGATGATGATGTGGCTGAGGTACCAAAACCTGCAAAGACAGTGAACCCCGGAAAAAATAAACGCAAGGGGTCATCCACTATTGTTCGAGATAAGGATGAGAAGAGCCCATTCGCTCGTATGTACAAGAACACTTGTTTGAAATAGAAACGGCGGCAGAAAAGATTTGTACAAGTGTTGAAGCATCATCAGCTTCTCCATGCAATGTAGTCCCTACCATTAAAGAGGCTATGAAGATGGTGAAAGATTGTGGGGTAGAAGAAAAAACTGCTCTAATGCACACAGCCACAACTTTGATTATGAAGCCTGAATTTAGGGAGGTCTTTAGCTAGCTAGAAACAAATGAAGGAAGACTCGATTTGATCGAGAGGGAGCATGAAAAGGAGATGATGAAGCCTTAGTGATTCCCTACGTTAAAATTTTATTTTTATCGATTGTTGCCTTGTTTATGTGATATTTGCTTCCCTATGTGAGAACACTTTGAGTTATTTATTTCTATGTTGTAACCAATATTTGCTTCTCTATGTGAGAACACTTTGAGTTATTTATTTCTATGTTGTAAACCAATATTTGCTTGGACATGTAAAACCGTTATTTCCATGTTGTGAGCTAATATTTGCTTCCCTATGTGATGTTATGTTCTATACTTGTTGTTGTACTTGTTTGCCGTTAATTATTACTATATCTTCTGTAGATGGATGGAAAATTAGTAGATGTAGCCAAAGAAGGGCAAAAGGGATTATTGATGCTAGCTGACCTTGCCCAACATGCTTCTATTATGGGAGAAATGGCCAATTTGTACACTGAGCGGTATTTGCAAAAAGGTGCATACAGACAAACGCCAGAAACTGGAATTCAATGGGTGATGAGGTTGATGGATCGTCCAAGGTATTTTTATAAGATGTTTCGGATGAGCCCTGAGATTTTTCATGCACTTCATGACTTGCTAGTCTCTACCTACGGATTGAGCTCGAGCAACAATGTTTCATCCATTGAGTCATTGGCGATGTTTTTGTGGATCGTCGGAGGGCCACAATCATTTTCACAAGTTGAAAGTCATTTCACACGGTCACTTTGGACGGTTCACACCAAGTTTCATGAAGTGTTGAAGTGTTTGCGCAAGTTAGCTAAAGACAATATTACTCCTAGAGATCCTACTTTTTCTATGGAGCATGGAAGGTTGAGAGAGGATCGATTTTGGCCATACTTTAAAGATGCGATTGGAGCAATAGATGGTTCACATATTTCAGTGGTAGTGCTATTGGATGAAACAATTAGCCACACATGTCATCATGGATATACATCTCAGAATGTGCTAGCTATTTATAACTTTGACATGAGGTTTATCTTTGCGGTTGCTGGTTGGCCAGGTTCTGCACATGACTCGCGCATCCTCAGTCATGCATTGGCTAATTTTCCTTCATTTCCCATGCCTCCTACAGGTATAAGTGGTTCCTTCATTAATTTTAATATTTGTACACTAGTATTATTATTTGCATTACTAACTTAGTTTTATAGGAAAATATTATCTCGTCGACTCAGGTTATCCAAACCGAATAGGGTATCTTGCACCTTTCAAAGGAACCACATACCATATACCAGAATTTCGGCATCGTTCGGGACCTCCTCAAGGAAAGTATGAGGTGTTCAATTTCTTGCATTCCTCCCTTCGAAATGTTATTGAAAGGTCTTTTGGAGTCTTGAAGCAAAAGTGGCGTATTTTGAAGGGCATCCCAAGTTTCTCACATACTACTCAGAAGCATATCATCATGGCTTGTCTTGCTTTGCATAACTTCGTCCGTGATAGCAATTTACGTGATAAGGAGTTTGAGAGATGTGATGCTGATGAGGACTACTTACTAGAAGATACCAGTGACACGTCAGACGATGAGAGTGAAGATGCAGAGAATGATGATACCATGAATACTATTCGTACTAGGATAGCTGATGCTTTGATTAGTGCAAGAGGAGGATAGTTATTTTTAGATATGGCATCATTGTATGAACCATTTATCTTTTGCTCTGTTTATGTGGACCATATCACTTTGATGGATAAAAAACTAATATATGTTGATAAAAACTTTGATTGATGGAAAAATTATACATTTTTTCTTTAAAAATTGGCCATTCAAATATAAAATATTGAACAGATTAGGTTTGTACGAGTAATTTGCATATAATCAGTCCCACATGCCATTAGGGGTATTACAGGTATTTCTTCTACAACCTACAGTTTCACAGCTGCTCTAACCAAACGGGCTTCTGCTTTTCCCACAGCTGATTTTCAACAGCTGCTTTTCCACAGCCCACAGCTCACAGCAGCTTTTCCAAAAGCCACAGCTCAACCAAACACACCCTAAGTATAGTACTTTATCTATTTTTTTCATATATGTATCTTCTCAATTCAAATTTAAACATCCACATCAACCTAAACCTGATCTAAAATAAAGAAAAGTAAAACAAGTGAATGGAACCCCTTTCATTTTATACTAGCTCTACGTAATTGATTTCCTTGCAGTGTTACGTTTTGAACGTGAACATGGTGCATGTATGTTAGAGTACAAATTTAAAGCTACAATAATAGTCACTCCTATTTTAGTCTGAAGATTCTTTGTGCATTCATGGTACTCCGGTACATATTAAGGGCATGTTTAGATCCCACCCTAAAACTTTATACTCTATCATATCGAATATTTGGACACATATATGATGTATTAAATATATGCTAAAAAAATAACTAACTGCACAGATTACGACTACTTTGCGAGACGAATCTTTTAAGCCTAATTGCTCTATGATTTGACAATGTGGTGCTACATTAAATAATTGTTAATGACAAATTAATTAGGCTTAATAAATTCGTCTCGTGGTTTACTGACGGATACTGTAATATTGGTTTTTTATTAGTGTCCGAACATCCCTACAACACCCTATATAATACCCGATATAGCACGCCAAAACTTTACCCCTAGATCTCAACAACCTCTGAATGATCGACTGAATGTGTCCAATTTTGTAGTTGTACTCTACTACAATATCAAACTAGGAAGGAATAATCATGCATGTATTGCGTTACGCCGCTAGGTGTTAGGAGGACTAAAATATAAGTTTAAGTAATTTGAATCCGGTTTGCATCAGGTGAAACCTCTTACTGCAAGATGGAATCTGTTTAAGTCAACCATTTTCTTTCTCTCTTTCTGTGTTTTTGATAAGCACACCAGATGGTCTGAAGGGTCAACCCATTTACTTTGGGACTGATCGGAAGAGGGCATATCTTTAATATATGTTTTCCTTTTGTAGTGAAGGTTAAAAATGGTACGTGAGTGATACATTACCTAACTTCAAATTGAGACTGTTGTTTTGTTTATACTCAATAATACTGAGACATCTGCATTGTCAGTGTCAGCTGCCAGGCCGGAGCTACGATTTGCTCCAGAATACTCTGGGTGTGTTCCCCCCCCCCCCCCAAAAAAAAAAAAAAAAAAAACTTTCCCCACCTTCCTCCCTTGTTTCTCACACACACATTTTTCAAACTACTAAATGATACGTTTTTTATAAATAATTTCTATACGAAAGTTACTTTAAAAAACAAATTAATCTATTTTTTTTAAAAAAATAGCTAATACTTAATTAATCATGTGTTAATGGACCGCTCCGTTTTCCGTAATTACTGTGCACGCTGGGAACGTCCGATTCCGAACACAGCCTCTATCCATCCCAATAAAAAACCAACCTACGATAAGATGTAATGTTTATTAGGATAATGATATGGTGTTTGGATTTAGAGACTTAACTTTAGTCCCTATATTTAAACACTAATTTAGAGTATTAAATATAGACTACTTACAAAACTAATTACATAAATGAAAGCTAATTCGCGAGACAAATTTTTTAAGCCTAATTAATCTATAATTAAAGAATGTTTACTGTAGCATCACATAGGCTAATCATAGATTAATTAGGCTCAATAGATTCGTGTCACGAATTAGTCCAAGATTATGGATGTGTTTTATTAATAGTCTACGTTTAATATTTATAATTAGTGTCCAAACATCCGATGTGATAGGGACTAAAAAGTTGTAGTCCCATCTAAACAGGGTCGAATCTAAATAAAAACCTATCCAGATTCATTGTACTAGAAAACATCGCATCATATTTTAGATTATATTGTTTTTGTTGGGATGGATGGAGTAAAGTTGCACCAGTGTAATTTATATAAATTTATCTTTGTATCTTCCCTGTTTTCAAAATTTAAAGCATAATTTTATTTAGGTCAAGGATTAGGACTCTAGTCGAGCTGCCCTACTCCTGTCTTCGCTCATTACTGCCTGCCTATCGCTCACTCGTTAGTAGATTAGCAGGAAAATGCATACCCCAACTATTGAGGTTACATTAGAATTTGAAATTTTCGATTGTGAGTTCAAACTCAACTGCTTGAATAAGAGACTGCAGTTGTGTAAAGCTCTATGAGATTGTTGAAATATATAATTGACTGTTTAATTAGCTGCCAATATGTTATATATGGACATGTTTGGGAAAAAAATAAAGCGAACTAACTAACCTCTATCTCAAGATGCACGCTACACTTGATTTAATAACTACTATAAGCTTAACTCCAGTTCTCATTAGGTGAAATCTCCTACTGCAAGATGGAATTTGTTTGGGGGCAGACAACCACCAAGGATGGCCAAGAAAAGTCATCCATTTTCTTTTTTGGGGCAAACACAATGATCCACAAGATGGCCTGCAAGGTCAATGCCCATTTTCTTTGGGACAAATTAAACCGAGGAGGTATGACAAATACGATGATCCGACGAGAGGGCCTCAGTTATTATTTTTCTTGTCAAGAATTAGTTAAAGCAAGCAATATGGAAGGTTTAAGGCTACGTTCGTTCCAGCTGGTTACCAACCCCTTACCCTCGTTTTTACGCGCACGCTTTTTAAACTGCTAAATAGTGTGTTTTTTTTAAAAAAAAAGTTTATATACGAAAGTTGCTTAAAAATCATAATGATCTATTTTTGAAAAAAAATTAGTAAATAGTTAATTAATCACGTGCTAATGGACCGTTTTGTTTTTTGTGCCGGAGGGTAGCGTTCCCAACCCAGGGAAACGAACGCAGCCTTAGAGTTTGTAAATCCATCTTCTTCCTGACTCGGCAAAGGGGAAAGGGATAATTCGGATACAGTGGTAAGAAAACCAAGTCCTTACTACCCAGCAGTGATCGATGACAGAATG